CAGGTATACAAGACTTGTCTTTTAGCTACAGAAGATGTGTCCATTTCTATTTTTTTTCCACATAATGACTTAAGAAAAAATAATTATTACTCCCAAAATGTTTGTCATCCTAATCTTTTATTTTTAGATCTAGCACCAGAGCAGCTCCTTGAAGTATGGAACAGAGGGAAACAAATTTATTTTAAGCATTTTTCAAATAATTCTAGGGCTGTGTTTGTTTTGGAGTACCAGTATACACATTGAATAACACTATTAAGTGAAAAAGGATTTATGGGGAAACTGCCCAAGAGACCTAACATGACTCCACAAAAATAATAGCACTCCTAAGTAGCAGCACCAGAATTCTAATCCAGGTCTTTTGACCTGGCCCTGGCCAATCTGGCCCCATGGATAGAGCGTTGCCCTGTGGACTGTAGGGTCCTGGGTTTAATTCCAATCAAGGGCACATGCCCCAGTTGTGGGCTTCATCCTCAGTAGGGGGCATGCAGAAGGCAGCCAATCAATGATTCTCTCTCATCATTGATGTTTCCATCTCTCTTCCTCTCCCTTCCTCTCTGAAATCAACAAAAATATTTTTTAAGGTCTTTTGACATGAATTCAAGTTTATGGTCAGTGATTCCATGCTTTCTTTTCATTTTTATAGCAACTCAACAAATTCCAACGTTCAGGAAATGTGATAATTGATTAAAGAATATGAGTTTTAGCCTTTTCTGAGACTTAAAATTTTGACAGGCCTGTGATGTACATACCTTACAGCTGGTATTGTATTTGGTGTCTGTTGCTAGTATTCTGTCATTTATACATTACTGTGTGCGTATATTCTTTTAAAACTCATAATTACTGACTTTAATGTCTTTTAGATTTAATATTCCTAAGTTGTGCTACAATCCCTGCGGGAACTAGAATAAGTTATTAGAGCCTTGCAAATGTGTTCGCTGCATTCTGTTATTTTTCTCTTCCGCTGATGGCCCACAGCTTCAGCTGAGCGGTAGAGAAGCTTAAACCTCTAGGGCCCATTAGATTTAACTTGTTTACTGCATTGATATCTATATGTTAAATGACAAGAGAGTTCAGGTTATTGAATAATTTAAAATTCAGCTCTAATTGGTGTCATGTGACCTAGTAAAGGCCACGGATGACGCCAGGAGCATGCTGTGAACTTCTTATAAATAATTCATAAATTAGATGATTCATTTGCCTGGTTGTGTTGGTAAGTGCAAAAGTTTGTAAGTTATAACTGATGATATAACTAACACCTGTAAGTACTTAGTTCATAACACTGGAAGGTAATCTACCTTGATGATCTTCTAGCAAAATCTGCCAGTATAGGAGAGTTAATTGCACTGGGGAGAAAGAACATTTATTCAGGATGAGACTTTGGCAAAACATACAGTGCAGCTGTTGCATTACATAGCTGTCAGTTTGATAACTGGTTCATGTAAACCTGACTTTAAAAGATGCAGCATGTCGTTCGGGCCTTACTTCCCACTAACTCAAAATGTTCTGCAACCAATGCAATGACCTGCCCCCGACACAGTAATTTAGGGTGTCCTAGAAAGGTGTATACACACTGTCTGAAGGTTCTATTACAGTTTGGAAATGAAATGTATTTTAATAAACTCTGACTTTATGGTTATTCAATGTGTGTATGCATTTTGGGGGGACACCTGATATTTATTTAGGTCTTGAATTTCTGACCTCTCAATCAAAAGAGCACAGGGGAAATTTTTAAAGTTACAAAATTGAGATTTTCATTATTATAATGCTGTCAGTGGGAATATGAGGATTGTTAGCAAGTTGCTTGCCATGATAGTAAATTATTATTTGTGGTCAAAGGAATTACCAATAAGACCTATTGGTACTATTGACTAATCCTGGGATTAACATCTCATAAGTACATTGTAAGTAAGCACTTCCTCATTGTGCAAAGGAAATAACCTGTTGCAAGAAATAATAACTGCAGTTTAGTTCAAATCTCTCCTTTTGGCTCTAAAGCAGAGACTTGCCTGTAAAAATCATTTTCAGAAATGTATAAAACATCACTGCTTTCTTGTTGATGGTATTTCACAAGCAACACTGCAGGCGTTATTTATAGAATGCGAGAGCATGGGAAAACCCTGGATTGCCGTAGGAATAGTATGTGATTCTGTGTGTTCATGTATATGCTTACACCCCTGCATGTACATGCATATATGTATACAGGGTCATATAATACATATTTTTCAACATCTTTATTTCCTGTCCAGTCTATTTAAAAATATGCCATAGTTTAGAAAATAGGGTGTGTGCAGGAGGTAGTCTGTTATTGTTTCTTTCATCTATTTTTCTATCCCTCTCTCTTCTTCTTTCTCTCTAAAATCAATAAAAGCATATTTTTTATGTGTCCCTGGATTATGTACACATGCATATAAATTCTTTGGTTGTTCTCTCCTTCCCATCCCCACCTTCTTTCTGAGATTTGACAATCTGTTCTGTGCTTTTATGTCTCTGGATCTGTTTTGTGCATCAGTTTACTTTGTTCATTAGGTTACACATATGAATGAGATGTGAAGGCCAGTGGGGAGGTTGTGGGGGAGGTGTCTAAAAAGGGTCAATGGGGGAAAAGAGGGGCTATATATAATACTCTCAACAATAAAGATTTTAAAAAACAAAAAATAAGTAAAGCTAATAATCATGGGGAAAAAATTTTAAATGCACGTATGTAAATAATATTAAGAAACAAAGTCAGAATATAAAGTAATACATATATGCTATCTATTGTTAACATCATACATGTATTAGAAAATAAATGATAATGTAAAATAGTCAATTTAACTCTCTGGAACAGTAAAAAATGTGTCTGTCAGTTTTAAAATATAATACTTCTGTAAAAAGATAGTTTTCTATACAAAATAGCACACGATAAATGTTAAGTGTTTGTGTTGGCAGTAAGTGGTACTGAAGTCCACATTAGGAACGCTTAATGTGGACTAGAGCTTCCTTTTCGGCGTAAAGTAAGGTTAATTTTTTTATGAGGCAGTTTGTTGTCAGTGTCGCCGTAGGCCTCGCTCCTTTCCTGCAGCTGTAATCTGCTCAGTGGCACCCTCGAGGTGTACAGAATGGCCTGTCCTAAAGAGAACTTGGTCTCCTCCCCAGATGCCACTCATTCTCATTTTAATAGAATTCCTTTTGAATTGCTTTAGAAACTCAAAATCTTAAGACTCATTGTAGCCCTAACAGGTTTGGCTCAATGGATAGAGCGTCAGCCTGCAAACTGAAGGGTTCCAGGTTCGATTCCAGGCAAGGGTTTGTACCTTGGTTGTGGGCACATCCCCAGAGGGGGGTGTGCAAGAGGCAGCTGATCAATGTTTCTATCTCTCTGTCCCTCTCCCTTCCTCTCTGAAAAAAAAATCAATAAAATATATATATTTTTAAAAGAATCATTGTAATAGCCATCTTTTATCCTAGAATAGGAAACATAGCATTGCTGTATATCTCTGTTAGTTGGCATTTTTTACCAGTCATGATTTTCAACTATTACTAAGTAAACTGGTGGGATTTTATTCCCCTTCTGCTAGGGATTTGTTCCTTCTGTGTCTCTAGAATAGATGAACATCTCAACTGTTTATGATTTATTTACAAAGAAGTTCTGGTAGAATGAATAATGCCCCGCCCAAAATTTGTCCATGTCCTAATTTCTGAAACCTGTCAGTGTCATTTTATATGATGTAAAGTACATTGTATGAAAAGAGATTGTACAGATGTGATTATGTTTAAGGTGTTGAGATGAGGAAATTGTTCAGTATTACCTGAGTGAACCCAATCTCATCAGAACAGTCCTTAGAAGAGGGATACAGAAACCAGATAGTCCATGATACAGAACAGTAGTTCTCAAAATGGGTCCCAGCCTCAACGGCAACAGCAGCACCTATGACTTCTTACAAACGCAGGTTCTGCAGTTTTGCCCCAGACCTCCCAAAAGAGGGACTCTGGGCATGAAAGCCAGCAAGTGACATTGAACAAGCCCTCCAGGTGATTCTGATAGTTGTTAAAGTTTGAGAATCAGGGTCTACACCAAATTTTGTTCTCCCTAATAGAACAAGCTTGAGGCAAAATGCTGGGAAAGCTCACTGTGACTGTCAAAGGTAATTTGCAGCTGCTTCCTTTCTGCCTGGGTTTTATCAGACTATAATCACTTGAACAGCTTAATTGAAAAATCACTTATGTTTATAGCTGGAATTAAATGTTTTGTATTTAAATAACCACTTTCGATTAGAATCATATTTTGTTGAAAGTGTTGTTTTTATCTCTGTTCTGTAAAAATACTTATAAAAACTCATCACATTTCTAGCGGTAACTTACATCCTATTAGTATAAGGTGAAAGGCTTTACATCAAATCTCATACTGTGTAATGGCCAATCAAAGAGTATTTCAAAGAGTATTTAAGGTGGCTCAATGGATTTCCTGGCTTAGTATTCAAAACTAAACCTTTTAAGATATTAATATTTAATGCTGCATTTTTTGCCTCTTCTCAACGTTGATTTTATGTAGCCCTCGTTATTTGCAACTCCTGAAATCTTGCTTAAGCAGCAAGTAGCTCTTTTTCTCATCCTTACGGATTTACTGAAATCTCCATTGTTTAAAAGTAGATTTAGCTTCGTGGCACATGTTACTTTAGCTGTGTAAATACCAGCGTTTGTTATTTAAGAAGATAAAACAGCTTTGTTTTGCTGAAAATATATCATGGATTTCTGAAAAGCCAAAAGAAATAACTCGTTTCATTGTGCTCCTATTTGACAAGTGGTCTTATGGTTCCTTTTAGGTTCTCAATAGGAAGAGCACTCTCCCGTCTTCATCTGTGGAACTGGATGGTTCCTACTTGAGTGTAGCCAAACCACAAATCTACCATCATACCAAGCAAAGGCCTAAAGACCAGGACTCAGCTTCAGAACCCCCTGTGGAGTTCAGAAACAATTCTTTGAAACCATCATCCCTTCATTATCCCAAAGAGGCTCCTGACATGATGCCATCAGAAACCAGAACATGTGATTATGGGTCCCCAGGGAAAAAACTAACAGAGGTAGTCCCTACAGAGAAAGTTCCTCCAGAGGCATTGAAGATGAAGGAATGCCGGCACCTTAAGCCCACTTCGTCTAGACTGTGTTGTGCTGATAGACTTTCTGAAAATGCAGATCATGTTCCCGTTAGCTATCCTACAGACATGGCCCCTCAATATTCCAAGACACACCCGGAATCATGCCATTATTGTGGGCGTTCCTGGGCATCTCTGATGCATGGCCAAGAGGTACTGCAGCCCAGTGAAATTGATTTCAAAAAGCAGCTATCAGAAGATAGAAGGCAGCAACTTATGCTTCAAAAAATGGAGCTAGAAATTGAAAAGGAGCGCCTTCAGCATCTGCTGGCCAAGCAGGAGACAAAGCTTCTCCTAAAACAGCAGCAGCTTCATCAGTCTCGCCTGGACTACAATTGGTGAGTCCTACCTGTCCTTCAGCAGCGTCTGTCGCTTGGCGAGCACAGGATAAAATGACTCTGCGTTACTGTAACAAATGTGTAGGAACAGGTTCCTTGGGGTCTTAGCTTTCTCAGGATGAGGACAGATTATGGCTACTAAGTAAATTCCACTGTCATCTTTGGAAGATTTGAAAGATTACCTTGTCTCCCAAAAAGTTAGCTTAGAATATTTACTACTAAAAAGTGCAGTGTAATTTTTGCCAGATTCCAATGACAATATTTTTTAATGATATCACCATTACACAGAATCCTTCACTGTTTGATGTCATTTTAAGGAACATTAGGCATTTAAGTAAAAGCTTGAGATTTCAGCATGTGGAATTCAATTGTAAAGAAGTATGATTAGCTGTCATCATTCCATATTTATGTCTCTCCACCATAGCATCCAATATAATAAAAGGCTAATATGCAAATTGTCCCCCCAGGTGTTCTACTGGGAGACCGGGAATTCCATCGCTTACTATGACGTGAGCTGACCACCATGGGGTGGCGTGGAACATGGTGGGAGACCGGTTGTGGTGGCGGGGCACTGAGAGAGCGAGGGAAGGAGGAAGCAGGGAGAATAGGAGGCCAGGAGGTGGGGAACCACACGGTGGTAGCAGCAGCGTGTAGGTGGCAAAGAAAGGAGGCAGGATGGGGGGGAACTTGATTGGCCCTGATTGCTGGCCAGGGCTGGTCAGGGGGGAGGGCCTGTGAGTGGTTGGCCTGCCGGCCCTGCCCCTGATTGGGGTAGGGTGGGGGGCTAGATGGGGGGGGTGGAGCCATGGGAAGTTGGGGGGTGCTGATCAGGGCTCCGATATGGCCAGTTGGCTGCTGTAGTGCATATCATAGCAACTACTCATTCTGGTTGTTTTGTCATTCCAGTCGCTTGGCATATACACACACACACATACACACACACACACACACACACACACACACACACTAGAGGTCCGGTGCATGAAATTTTTGCATGGGAGTGGGGGTCCCTTAGCCAGACCTGCACCCTCTCCAATGTGGGAGCCCTCAGGAGATGTCCTACTGACAGCTTAGGCCCGCTCCCTATGGTTCTCTGCTCTCTGCGGACCTGCCTACTTGATGCCACTGCAGGCCCTAGTGTCTGCTCTCTGTAGAAGCCTGTTTGCCCCTCGCCACCACAGCCAGGGGCAAGCAGGGTCCAGCTATCTGCTCACTTTAGGGGCTCTTCTGTCTGCTCTCTGTGGGGGCCCTGCTGCCTGCTCTCTGTGGGGACCTGCTTGCCCCCTGGTCCAACAGCAAGGGGCCTGCATGGTCTGGCTGTCTGCTTGCTTCAGGGGCCCTGCTTTCTGCTTTCTGCTAGGGCCTGCTTGACCCTCAGTGCCTTGGCAAGGGGCAAGCAGCACCCTGCTGTGTGCTCACCATGGGGGACTGACATGTACTTACCACCAGGACGCCAATGCTTAACACAGAAGCAGTTCCCTGGTAGTCATTGTGCTCCCATAGGGGCGAGTTGCTCAGCCAGAAGCCAGGCTCAAGGTTGGCAAGCCCAGCTGCAGCAGCAGGAGTCTCTCCCGACTCCGCATAAGTGCTACCAAGCAGTGGTGGCATGTGCAGTGGGCCAAGATGAGCGTGAGCAGCTCCCAGCCCCAGTTCAGGCTCCTCCCTGGCTGCCTGCCTCTTGGTGCACTGCTACATACCTTGGGGGATGCCCAACTGCTGGTTTAGTCAGGCCTAAACCAGCAGTCAGACATCCCCCAAGAGGGTCCCAAATTGTAAGAGGATGCAGACCAGGCTGAGGGACCCTAACCCCCTGCATGAATCCATGCACTGGGCCTCTAGTTTAAAAAATAAACAAGTAATAAACTGTTCTTTCCTTAACAATTCCTACAGTTTTTGGTAAAGTCACGGTTTCTAAATATAAGATTGTATTACCTGAAAACAAACAATTTGACTTTTTCCTTTCTAACAGGGATACCTTTTGTTATTCTTACCTAATTGCTTTGGCTAGTATTATCAGTATTATGTTAAATTGAAATGGCAGCTATGGATATGATGGTCAGGATCATTTTAATTATTGTTATTAGAATTTACACTTTAGATTCTGGTGATCAAAACATTTGCTTAAAAATGGATATGGGAAAGCTTTAAATTTCTAAAGGAGAGATTTAAAGTGCTCTTAAAACATCTATAATGTTGAGTTTTTAAATTATATTCTAACCAACTCAGTCTTCCTCCAATCCTCTATAAGTAAAGAAAATTTAAATTATTATGAAACTGCTTTGTCTTTATTAATGTGTATTTAGTATTTTTTATAGCTTTTTAATTTGAAAATAACTGCTGGATAATAAAGCTATAAGAGAATGGTCTTTTAAGGATTAGCATTCAGTTTCTTAGGTTCCATGGGATAAAACTTTCTCTGAATTAATTTTTACAGGTTAAGAACTCAAGCTGTGTTTAACTCAAAGGAACTGATTGCTGATAGCAAGCTTACTAAGCCCAGAGAACTCAATCTGGATATGAATGGTAGTGATTCTGGACCAAGGTAAACTCGGGCAGTGGGTCAAGGCAAGAATATGTAGGACATAGATATGAAGGATACGTTTAGAGTATAGTTAAATCTCCATATTGGTGAATCCAGCCTTCTGATCATATGAGTAAATATATTTCATTAAGAAATTTTGAATATATATAGAAAAGTATAAAGAAGAAAATAAAAATTATTCCTATATTCCTACCATCAGAAACAATCTTTTTAGCCCTTTTCCTGTTTTAATCTTTCTTTAATAATTATATATTCTATATTTAGTAATATTATGCTTGTTTAGAATTTTATTGTTTGCTTTTTTCACTATATCATATTTTCTGATGCCATTACATTTTTATGAAAACACAGTAATTTATTCACTCAACAAATATTTATGTGTGACATCTATTATTCAGTGTTTATCTATAAGCCTGTTGTTGGATAATACAGGATTTTGCTATTATAATTATGCTTTGAAGACCCTTTCTGTAAATAAGTAATTTACTTATCTCAGCCTATTTCCTTGTTATAGATTCCTATAAGTGGACTGCTAGCTCAAATTATATATGAATCTTTTAAGATTCTTTTTTAAAAAGATATTTCTTTATGGTTTTCAGAGAGGGAGGGAAAGGGAAAGATAGAATCATCAGTGATGAGAGAGAATCATTGATTGGCTGGCTGCCTCCTTCCCCCGTACTGGGGATCCAGCCCACAATCCAGGCATGTGCCCTGACCAGGAATTGAACCAGTGACCTCATGGTTCACAGGTTGATGCTCAACCACTGAGTCATATAGGCCAGGCATGAGCTGGGTTTTTATATTATACATTTTGTTTCATATTCCACCTTTTTTTTTTTTTTAAATGAGTTTATTTGAGCCAAACTAATAACAGTGCTGGGAAGCAAGATCTCAAGTGCTTTTCCATATTTCATTTTATTTTTAATCAAACTTTGCTAAATTTCAAAATAAAAATATTTTATTATAGAAAGTAGAACATCCAAAAACACATCAAGAAATGATCTGTCATATTTCATCCCCCATTCTATTCCCATTATGATTATCTTGGTTAAATTCAAGTTAGTATCCTTCTATACCTTTCTTTATGCCTCCATATATGTACAATATCTATAAATATTTGATATGAAACTGAACACATTACTTGTTAATTCCCATCCCCATCCCTCACTGAACATTAGTACTTCATGGTCATCTATCAGATTTTTAAATATAGAACTACGGTAAGCAGAATAAGTGTCTGTGTCCTAATTCCTGGAACCTCTCAATATGTTACCTTACATGGTAAAAGGAACTAGGTAGATATGATGAAGGGATTAGACCTTGAGATGGGATGTTATCCTGGATTATCTAGGTGGTCTCAGTCTAATCACTTGAGTCTTGGAAACTGGGGGGTCTTTTCTTGCTGTGTCAGAGAGATGATATGGAAAGAGGAAGGAAGATTCCAAGCATGAGAATGATAACTTGCCATTGCTGGCATTGAAGATGGAAGAAGGAGGTCACAAGCCAAGGAATGCAGGTAGCCTTTAGAGCTCAGAACAGTCATCAGCTGGCAGCCAGCAAGGATATGGGTACCTCAACTGACCAATTGCAAGGAACTGAATTCTGCCAACAGCCCAAATGAGCAAGGGAATAGCCTTCAGAAAGGAACATAACCTAGCCAACACCCTAGTATTACCCAATAAGATCCGTGTCAGACTTCTGATCTACAGAAGTATAGAATAACAAATTTGTGTTGCTTGAGCCACTAAACTTGTGAGAATTTGTTATAGCAACAATAGAACACTAATTCCAATGCTAACTCATTTCTTATAAATGCGTAACAGTCCGTAGTTTCTATGAACACTGTTAACATATCCAGCTTTTCCATTGTTGGACATTCAAATTATTTCAAGTTTTTACCACTACACAATACTATAACAAGCAAGATGTACTTATTCTTGTGTTCTGCTACATCTGTTTATTAGGATAAATTCCCCAAAATAGAATTGTTACTTCTACCTACATATATTTCTATATAATTTATAATTATAAATTATAAGATTCAATACCAATTTTCTTTTACAAAAAGTTGGAGCAATTCATACTCCCAGTTTGTGAAAGTTTTCATTACTGCTGTTCAGGTAAGTGTAGTGAATGCTTTGGAAGCTAGTGCTTTAGTTTAAGAGATGGACATGCTTTTGAAGTTCAGGTACATCTACGCATCCATATCCTACATTCAGATAATTATGACAAAAATAAGATAGAACCATGCACTACTTTCAAACAAGTATTTTCTATTGTATTTGATTAAGGGCTTTAAAATGTTAACTGCAGCCCTAGCTGGTTTGGCTTAGTGGATAGAGTGTTAGCCTGTGGACTGAAGGGTCCTGGGTTCAATTCCAATCAAGGGCACATGCCCAGGTTTCGGGCTTCATCCCCATTGGGGAGTGTGCAGGAGGCAGCCAATTAATGATTTCCTCTCATCATTGATGTTTCTCTCTCTCTCTCTCTCTTCCTCTCCCTTCCTCTCTGAAGTCAATAAAAATATATATATATTTTTAAAATGTCAATGTTAACTGCATTTAAGAGTTTGACAGTCATTTGCCAGTAGAACTCCCGAGATAAAATTTAATTTTAAGCTAAGTTTTGTTTATTTGGAAATTTAAATTATCTTAGTATTAAAAATATTATGTATTTAAAATATTAAACTTACTCAAGTGGGGCATTAAGAATTTGGAACTAAAATAAATGAGATAACGAGGATGTAAAAAACATATTTTTTATAATTAACAGCTCATTTTGAGTTAATTATATACAATTACCAAAATCTAATTGCAATTTATTTTCTATTATCTGTGGGAAGAATCACAGGCAAGGGAGCTTACATTGCTGCCTTCCTGCATAAACACTATAGAATGAGAATGAATAATATGTGAGGCTTTAATGACAAGTAGGAGCAAATAGTGGGGCACAGCTGAGCCAACCATTGGAAGATAATTATCACATGAGAGAGGGTAATGACTTAAAAATTCACAAGCAACTCTGATTGCTTATAGGTTCTCTGGTTTGTTTTTTACTTAGTTTGCTTGAGATTTGTTTGTTGGCTATGCAAAGATGACCTTTATTTAAAAAAAAAAAACAAAAAAAAAAACACCACAAACCTGGCTCACTAAGTACTACAGGAGATGTGAAAAAGCCCCTACTTCACGTACTCTAATAGAGAAGTAAGTCACATATATAAATATTGATCATCTATAGACTATATGGGCTATAAAAGAAATACAGATAAACTAAGAAGAGGTTTGTAGAAGAGGTTATATTTAAGATAAGTCCTAGAATTTTGATAGATAGGCATATCTATGGGTGTGTGTGTGTGTGTGTTTCAGGTGGGAGAAGACATGAAAGAGTAGATGTAAAGGAAGGAAATCACATATGTGGGGCATCCTATATAATAAAGAACTAATATGCAAATGATCATCACGCTGTCATGCTGTAATGGCTCAGACACTCAACACTGGGAAGAGAGGAATGGGGACCAACCAGGCACAAATGAGCTCGCAAGAGAGGAATGGGGACCAGCCAGGCTATGGCCTGGGAGAGGGACAAGCTGCACGCCCTGTGGCTGCGTCTCTAGCCCAGGAGAGGGACAGTCCACACTCCCCACAGTCCTCATGGTCCCGGGCGCCAGCAGCTGTGTCCGCGGCCCGAAGAGAGACAAGCCACCTGCCCCATGGTCCTGGCCGGCTGGAGGATGGAATCCTGGATCCCGGGTTTAGGGCAAGTTAGAGGTGGGTTAGGGGCAATCAGGCCAGCAGGAGAACAGTTAGGGGTGTTCAGGTCGGTAGGGGAGCAGTTGGGGCGATCAGGCAGGCAAGCAGAGGTGATTAGGGGTGATCAGACTGGCAGGCAGAGGTGTTTAGGGGTGATTAGGCAGGCAGGCAGGCAGGTGAGCAGTTAGGAGCCAGCAGTCCCGGATTGTGAGAGGCAGTCAGACATTCCCTGAGGGATCCCAGTTTGGAGAAGGTGCAGGCCTGGCTGAGGGACCCTCCCCTCCCCGTGCACAAATTTCATGTACTGGGCCTCTAGTGTAGAATAAAAGCTGAACTCCTTGGCTGGCATGGTGTTCTGCATGAACTCTGGCTTATCTCATCTCATACCACTCCCCTTCTAAACATTTAGTGACCCTTACTACCATTGTAGTTAAAACTCTAATTTCTTACCACGGCCTTTATGTTCTCCTATCTTGACTCTGCACTTTCTTCCTTGCATCCTGTAATCCAACTTCATTTGGTCTTGGCTGACATTTCAGTTTCTAGTACATGCTGCACCATACGTAGAGCTGCCCTTAACACTTTAATCCTGTCCTTCCTTATGTTAACTTCTTTAGATAAAAGTTTAAACATCATCTCCTGAGCAGATACTTCTCTGATCACCCCATTGTTCCCTGTCTCAGTACTCTTAAGTCCATATACTACTATGCAATTGTAAGCTTTCTGAGTGCAAGGATTGTATCTTGTTATGTATGATATGTTATAACATGTATATTATAAAGATTGTATCTTCAGTAGATAGTAAATATTTGTTGAATGAATTTTTTAGATGTTAATTTCCTCATTATAGCATGAAGGGAGATTATCAACTAAGAAAGGTGACAGTAAGGGAAACATCTAGGAGGAGGGTGGAGATACTTGGAATTGCCTCAAGGGAAGGTATAAGTTACCAAAAGACGATCAATAAAAAGTAATGTATTCATAATTATAAATTCCCTAGAATTGATAAGATAAACTACCTCAAATAGGCAACTCTTGGAAGAGTAATCCAAACAATCAGTATGTATATAAAATCTTATGAGTCATTCTGGAAAGATAAAAATTAAAAACAACAAGAACATAACATTGAAAAGTCTAGTAATATCACATGTTCATAAGGGTATGGAGAAACAGGTACTTTGATATGCTGCTGGTAGGTGTGCAAGTTGCTTAAGCTACTTTGGTGGTCAATTTTGGAATATCATTTTACAG